GCAGGGCGCCCGCCGCCGCCGCCGCCCAGTACAGCAGCCGCGCGCCCTCCTCCGCCGCCGCCATCTGCCTCGGGGGGACGGGGACACTGGTGCAGGGCAGTGGGGACAAGGCGGGGCCGGGGAGGAGCCATAAGAGCGAGCAGGAAATCCCGCTACTCGCGCCTGCCAGGGGGGCAGAGCCGCTGCCCACACGGCGCCCGCCCGGCTGGAGCGGAGGGGACCGCCTCTGGCCCCCCCTTGCCCAGCTGTGAGCCTCCGCCGTGCCCGCCTTTGCGTCGCGGGGCAGAAGCGGCCCAGAGGCCTTGCCTCACACAGCAGCGTCGGGGCTGGCCCCCAGGACCCCGGCTGTGCTCTCCCCCAGGGATTCAGCCCGGAGGGGCAGCCTGAGGCAAAGGACATGGCTCCCCAAGCGACACCAGGGCAGTGGTTGCCCCCAAACGGTACCAGGGAACCAGCAGTGCTCCAGCCCGGCACCTCCATCCCAGCAAACATTTTGCAAGAGGGGTACTGCTTTTTGTAACCGAGTCCCCCCAGACAGCTAAATAACCCAGCGGGGAACATGCTTTGCCCCGCCTTGGATCCTGACGCTTAGGCCCACATAAGAAAAACAAACCCGCAAGTGCTCCAGTGAAGGGAGTGCAGAAGCAAACTATTAAAACCATAAAAACTAGCGCAAGGAAGTTGTTTTTCACACAGCATCTCATTCAAGTGTGGGACTCCTTGCCACCAGATGATGCAGAAGGGGACAGTTTTACCATATTCAAAAAGAGATTAGACAAATCCTTGGAGGAAAGGGGCACAGGTAACTATTGAGCACAGGAGTTAGGGGCTGAGCCTCTGAATCAGAACTTTTTAGGCCTTAAATGCTGGAGACAGCAAGTGAGAAAGGAACAGCAGGGGAAAAAATTGGTCATACCCAGCTCTCTCTCCTTTTCAGTACCCACTCTGTGCCACTGTGTATGGGCAAGATGGACCACTAAATAGCCATTCTTATGTTCATAAAGTTCTCCAACTATGAATCTTGCTACCAAATGGAGGATGAAGAATAACACAATGCATCCAATCATACTTTTATGGTCCAGTACTTAGCAATTTAACAGAAAGAAGCAGCCCTGCAACATAGACTTACTGCATCTTAAAACGCTGATGCTGAGCCTGGTTCCTGTACACAGACCCTTGAGAAAGAATGTCTTGTGTTCAAAAGGCCATGCAACTTTATCCCAACTACATAGCTGATCCAGTAAAGGATACCACCGTCCTGACAACCCAAGAAATCCTTGCCTCACGCATGCATCTTAAAATCCTGAGTTCATAACAGGTGACCAACCTGTTAGTTGTGCAAATGTGGTTAAAAAGCCTCCCTAAGTTCAAAGAAGCATGGGAGCTTCATTATGGTTGCACATAGGAATCTCAGCAAAGGATGCCAGAGGAACACACTCGCAGAGCACTGACTTCTAGGCAAAAAGGAGCTACATATAGCTGCTCATCCCCTAAACAGCCCTCTCCAGTGCTTCGTCTTGCTTGTGCTTACTTCAGCTGCACAGAGGCCAAACATCTGCACTGAAGATAAGTGCAGGCGGCTAGGATGTTTCAGGGGGGCAGAGATTTAAGGCCCACAACAGGGGGACAGGTTGTAAGCTCCAACCCATGGTGGCAAAAGGTTGCCAGCCCCTGCTGTTGTGTCATATTGGCTACAAATAGAGGTTTTGATGTGGCATCAGCTATGCCAGGATGTCTCCCAGCACAACTCTTCTCACTGATCAGCAGAAATATATGTTGCTGGGGCCATCATCCCCACAGGGACAATCCCCTGCCGCTCCAGGGGCTTCAGGGCCTTGAACTGTGGGTCAATGGCCCCAGATGCTGCACCCTACACCCTGATCCAGGGCACACATCTGCAAGCAGGGTTCCCGGTGGGGAGGGGTTGCTTGCAGATGTGTCTCAGGATTCCCTCTGCAGAGTCAGGGTACAGTAATGTATAACCTGAGAACCAGGAATCTCCTGGCAAGAGATATCAGGGACCTGTGTCTGCAAGTTGGGGAACCCACTGGCCCGGGTGCCACAGCTTACTCTCAATGTGTCTGCCTCAATCCAATTTGTGAAATGCCTTCAAAATCCCCTGCAGGATTCCACTGCAAGTAAGGGAACCCCCATGGGCTTGGGGCATGGCAGCATGAAACTGTGCCCTGGGAATTTGCAATAAGTGAACAGAAATCCTTTCCTATAAGGCATCATGAACTGAGCCTAGGTTCAGTCATGCAAACATTTTTGGGCAAAAGGCAGGGATGTCTGTTCATTGACAACTTGTGCTGCCATAAACATTTTTATTGTGGCACAAGGGCGACATCTGTTTACACTCACCGATGTTAGGCTGAAACACAATGGCCTTCACTAATCAAAATCTATCTACATTAGCCGTTTTTAGAATGTTCTTTCACCCGTAATGCAGTTCCTTTTACACTACTTCCTCTAGCCTCAATTATGCTAACTTGGTCTAACTTAAAACAACAGCCTACAGCCTACTAAAACCATTACAACACAAGCTAAAAAGGACTCAAAGTTAACACAAATGTTTACAAAGTATAGTATAGCCAGTGTAGATTGCATTTCTTCTAATATACAAAAAATACGATGTGGTTTGTATATTACTTAAATCATTATTAGATACAAGCTTCAGCTAATTTTTAAAGTTTGTAAAACAAACATAAAAAAGGGAAAAGGAG